GATGTCCAGACCTGCGCTCAGTGCCTCCATCACCTGGCTGTAACCCCCCTTGATCATGCAGTGAGCCCCTCCGAATCCACCGTACACGTCGTCTTGGTCCAGTACGGCAACGATACCTCCTTCAGCTCCGCCGCGCACCCGTACTCCAGGTTCGCGAAGTGCCAGTCCATGATTCGCCGCTCCAGCTCGCTCAGCTTCCCCTCCTCCACTCTTCCCTGCACCGCGCCCGTCGCCCCTTCCTTCCCCACCTCCGACCTCGTGCCCGCCTTCCCCTCGCTCGCACACTCCGCGATCGCCAGCTTCTCGCACGGGTCGCTCGCCACCAGCGTCTCGCATATCACCTCGCTCGCCGTCACCGCCGCCACCATATCCGACTCCTCCCCCGCCACCTTCTCCACGCTCGAACCATCGCTTCCCACATCACCCACCACTCCGTTCTCCTTCGCCTCCTCCCTCTTCATCGCCGCATCCCCGCCGTTGCGTCCCGCGCGTCGCCTCCTCAGGCATTCTTCCAGCGCCTCTTCCAGGCACAGCCGCATCGCAGCATCCCCGTTCTGTGCAACCATCAACACCGTGTCGTCCAACAAACTGTTGTACTCCGCCTCCAATGCGGCATCCAGGTCCGCCGGGACCTTCTCTCCGCTCACGGAATCGTACAGCGGGCAGTCCCCGCGTAACGTCGTCAGCTCCAAATCCAGCTGCTTGCACAAAAGCGCAGAAGGGTCGGCTCTCCGCTCCGTCGCCACGTCTGCCTCCACACCTGCACACACCCATCCCCTTCCCAGCGTCAGCTGCAACTCCACCACCGCCACACGCATCTCTACCTCCACCCTCCGTCCCGCACATCCTTCCACCAACGTCCGCATCCCTCAAACGCTCCGCCCACCACTCCCTCCCCCTCTCCCTCTCCCTCTCTCGCTTACCCGTGATTATGCTCGCCCCCAAATCCACGGGCGCAGAAAATGTCTTCCTGTCCGTATACACGCGCCCACCCACCCGATCCCGAGCCTCCACTATCGTCACTTGGTACTTCATCCGCTGCAGATGTCGCGCCGCTGACAGCCCAGCAGGCCCCGCGCCCACCACGATCACCCGTTTTCCCCCTTCCTGCTCCGCTCTCTGGCTCCGCTGCCTCTCCAATTCCGCTGCTGCCCTGAACGCCACCAGCCCTTCCACGCCTGCATCGCACTTGTGCAGCTCCTGCAACACCTGCGCGCTCTTGAACTCGTCCAGCTCGTCCTTCGCTCCCACCGACCCGCATACTTCCGCTTTCGCGCCATCCCACCCCCCACGCTTCATCTTCCTCGCGTTCAACCCATGCCGCCTCCGGGCAAACACCTGGTCCAGCGTCGCCATGTCGTCGATCTCATTGTCCACCTCCCCTTCCGGGTGCTGCCCATTCTCCTCGCCCTCCGCTTTGCACACCACGCTCTGCGACGCCGAAACCACCGTCTTGCAATCCTGCTTCTCCTCGACCCCCACCACCGCCATCGACTCCACTGCGTCCACGTTCGGACCCACGTCGATGTCCATGGGTGTCGACTCTCCATCCACGGCCCCCTTCGTCAGCGAACACGTCGGACTGCTCCCGTTCTCCGTGATCCCCGTCGATCCCTCTCCATCATGGCAAGAATCCACTCGCCCGCTCGGACCCTCGCCATGACTTTCCTCCTTCGTCGCTCCCGACCCCGGGTTCCCTCGAATTTGACCTGCAATAACTCCCCGATCGTCAATATCTCCGCACCCTCCAAACCTTACCAACACAACCCCATGGTCTCTGTATCCACACAAACCTAGCTGCACTGCGCATACGTCCGGTCGTCGAGATAAGACCAGTGCAACACCTCAACCTTCACCCCGCTGTTTCGCAACCTTCCTAACATCCGCGTAACACTGCCCTCGTGCCACACTCACCAAGAATCAGTGCCACTTCTTCAGCTACGTCCAGCTCCGCTCCCTCGAACACCGACTCACCGTTCTCGCTCGCCCTCGACTTCCCATTACCTCGCTCGGCCTGCACGCCTCCATGCTTCTGCCGCTTGCTGGCCACCCCTACGTTGATGTAACCCTGCCATACGCAACCGTACTGAATCAGTCCCACATTCTAAACCTACCAAACGCCCCACCGCCACCACCTGTTCGAAGCCCGCGCCACAGTCGACGTGCCCAAACCAGCAACATTTCCGCATCCACCACAACTGCAAACATGGCTCACGTCCAAAAACCGGGACACTCGCATTCACTTTCCAACACCATTTCCGACAACTCCGCAACATGCTTAGCACGTGCTTCTCCTTCTCACGCACCATCCCCTCAGTCTGAACTGGGGACTGAAACCGAATACATACGTGCCGAACCGCAACAAACACAAACACACACACATACACACAACAAAGCAATCAAAACAATACCAGACCAAACACAGGCGGGACTCACACAACGCGTCTCAGCACACTCCACCGCATTCCTTCCTTCACCGCCTCTCACTACACCACATTCTCCCCACCTTCACCCAAATCCTACCACTCTCCTGCATTACCGCCACACTTACATGGTAGTCCAAAAATCTGTATATCTCACGAACGAGACTGGCTCGACCTGGCTCCTCCGCCGATGCCTCTTCCGCTACCCCGCAGTCCGTCACCATCAACAAGTGTTGCACGTCCTTCTCCCACATCCCCAGGAGCAGGTTCCTGCCACACACCACCATTCCCCACTCTTCAGATCACCCCCGCCGCATCCTCGTCTCACAACCACTCACTCCTTCCGTCATCACTCTGCATCCCCAACACAACCCAGCCTCCTCCACTCAGCGTCACTGCGCAACCACACCTGCACTCCAGATACTCCTGCAGCCCGCCGCGTCGTTTCAATGCATCCTTGAAGCATATCCTTTCCGCCGCACTCAGGGTCCGGGCTCGCAAACCCGCTGCCACCGCCGCAGCCTCCCCAGAAAACATCCGACCGTGCGACGACAACGCCAAACTGCCCTTCCCGCGCCCTCTGCTCAGCCTGTCTTTCTCGGGGTGCCAGTTCCAATCAGACGGCGCCTCTCCTACTCCCACGATCGCATCCCACTCCATATCGCCTTCGTACGCCATATCATCGTGCCTGACAATCGCCACTTGCACCACACTTCGTCAGTCACGCAAACGCATTACCTCCGCTTCCCATGCACCACCCCTTCCACACTTCGCAGACACGATCACCGCCCCCCACCGTCTCGCGCGACGCGTGGGGCATCCCCGACATACACACACACACACACACACATACGGATTACGCCGCAACCAAACCAAATCCACCACACACCACACGGCTATCACTTCCCACTTCCTCACCCACATCACCCAAAACACCGTCTCAACCATACCTGCGCTTCTTAGCTTGCCGAAGCGCCCTCCGCGACTCCATGCTTCCTTTTCTGCTGCTCCTCTGAAGCCCGCTGTTCGGACGGCTCTTCGACGTGCCGCCCTTTGCACCCCCGTCGCCATGTCCATGTTTCTTCCCCACCTCATCAACCATCCCTGTTTTCGACACACTAGACGAAGATTTCACTTTTCCCGTCCCTGGCCAACCCAACGGAGAGGGAACAGCACCCGAAGGGTAACAACTCGCCTCCCCCACCGGACTCCCATCCACAACCGTTCCGTGACCGTCCTCTCTCGACTTGCCCTTTCTCAACATCATGCATAACGGTTGGTCGTCATCTGCAGAGTCCTCCGCCGCCACGCCCACATCCCTGCCGTCTGTCCTATTTTCCTCCGAAACACCTCCGTTGTCCAAAACCATGGTTTCTTGCGAGATTTCTGGGGTACCTGTTTCTACCCCTTCTACCCTTTCTTGCATATCGATGTCGTTATTCTTGCAGCTCTCTACGACCTTGTCATCGGCGTTCACCTCCTCGGCTAACAAGATCCCTCCGTCTCCTGACCCTCCGCCAGGTCTCCCCACCGACTCGACAAGGTGGGTGACTTCATCTTGCACCTCGGAAGACGAAATAACCGCATCGTTCTTGCCCCAAATCTCGGAACTCGGAGGCTTTGCAAGAGGTTCCCGATGTGCGTCCAACATGGAGGAGGCAGCAGGTGAGGCAGAAGACGAGGAGATACCCAGGGCCATCGGCACAGACACAACTGTGTCTGCCCCTTGCCCGGAATCATGTTGCTCCATCGTTTCTTTGGAACACAAATTTTATGCAACATGCCAACCCATACCTGCCACCAGCACGCCCCGTAGTCATAGGCTTGCATGCGAAACGGAATATCTTTACAGGAGATAATTTTCGTACGCTCCTTCAGTTAACTTCAGCCTAAATATCCTGCTCCCAGCAGTTTCAACATCTTCCAAAGGAAACTCCTCCGGGTGCATTCATAAGTTTATCATGAAGCGGGTACCTTCGGGACCTGCTCCATTCACTCCAACGACTGAAATGTTTGAAAGGACACCCCAATCGTATTTTTTGAGAACAACAGATGCACCGGATGATTATGCAGACACAAGCTCGAAAATGGTGAAGTGGAAAACCTAACCCTATCCAGACCCAAATAGGGTTTGAGGTTTATCGAAATGAATGGCGAGGACTATGATGCTCGCTGTGGACTCGATTTCGAAAGAAGCATTTCCAGTGCTTTCACAACAAACTGCACATTAATGTGAATAACTGAGGTACTAATTTTCTGAGCTGGGCGCATGTATGTTGAGCGGATCAAGGCACCAACGTATTCGAGGAAAATGATATTGACAGAAACGTCTTTCAATTGAAACATACTCAGGAACCAGAGTTGACGCGATTTCCAGTTTCTATGGTTCTTGTGCTGAACAGGTCGAATATAAATGCGCAGATCGAGACGTGAGGGGAACAAAAGACTAGCGATTCTGAATCCGGTTCAATCACAACTCCATTGCTAATAAACGAAACAATGAACTAGCGATGCAATTTGAAATTATCCTTTCCTCTGCTGCAACCTGGTGAACGAAAACATTCGTACCGAGGATAACGCAGAAAGGTTACATTATATCAGTCCCTTACCGAAGTCTGAACGAAATGACGCATTTTCGAAGTCGTAACACAGCGCAAGAGTTGGAGCAGCAACTGCAACGCAACGGGATGCGTGGGGAACATATTTCAGGTACCTTGACATCAAAAAAATTAGACCCCATGTCAGAGCTGCGAGAGCGATGGCGCTGCTTCTCCAGCCCTAGGTTTTCCGCTCCGAAAATACCTTGGATGGATGATAAAAGGGTCCAGGATGGATGAATTACGGGCATAGAGAAGTGCTCTTGTTCACAGAATAATCACTGTACAGTCAGCATCGGCTTCACGTGTGGACGAGCTTTGGGCTCCATGTTAATGTTGATTGGAGGGGCCTGCTACGTTGCAGCTGTTGGTTCAGACAACGTTGAAACCTGCTGCCCAACATCTTCTAAATCATACGGGTGTGCACATCAACACTTGTCCTCTACATACTAAAAACGCTTTAGAATATTAGCAATAAATCTCACTATAGTTGTGCTGTAATGTGTGACAACCAGGCAGTTTTCAGACGATGCCATGAACTAATTAATCACTGAACCACTTGTCCATACTAAGTACATTATTCAAATCAACGATTGATTATATCCAGGAAGCAGAACGTCGCTATGAGCCCTTCACGATAATCAAAATTGCTCGAGTTACGAAGGCAGTCGCTCAGTAGGCAAGTTAGTACAAGAGAGGTGCATAGAAACTGGTGATCACCTGGAGTTCCAAATTCTGGATGGAGAGCGAGGGTTTCCAACTCCGCGGGAGTTGCACATAGCAACTGAAGTTTGCAGCATGATATGGTCATTGCGAAAGTAATCTGCAATTTCTTGCATTCATGTCCTCCACATCCGTAAAATCCGTCAGGTGGCTACTTGGTCCTACACTGACATCCAGTCTTCAAGTGAAGGAGAACAGTGTTAAAGGAACCTCCTCATATCAATCAATCGTCCATTACATTTAAGCTCCCAACGAATATCCACATAACACTTCACCTGAGGGGACTGGACACGTTGTGGTGTACCTTGTTGTCCACCACCAAAGCGGACCATTACATTCGATAGGGTAGGCACAGGATGCCTCCATCTCTATCCATATGCCTTGCACATCGAGAGCTTAAACGCTTTCAGAGACGCAAAGGTGAACTTTTAGGAGACTGAAATACTTCCAGATTCGAATTGGTCATCATTGTTTAAATCTCCCAAATCCCTCCAGATGCTCAACGTGAAGCCATATGCCTTGGTAAATCGATCGAGAACCCCATTCAAAGCCAACGAGCATTTGAGGCTTCATACATCATATAAGCTTGCAGTTCATGAAACTAGGCTCTGAAGCAACCATGGTTATAACAGAACCTACGGAATATTGGCATCAACTTCTACGCCTTTATAATTGAATAATAAATATGAAAGCCCCCATTACTTTTCTTGCTGCCATTTGGATTAGAAAAAGCATATATTTTCCCCATCCATAGCAACAGGCACAATGCTTCAGGAAGAAACAGAAAATCAAGCAGATATGTTTCGTTCCCAGCAGGGTGAAAAAAAAATTCCAATTAATAGTTCCATCCGTCAAGTCAAAAGGTCCGTCTACACAGAATGTTGCCCAGATCTCGCGTGAAGCATTCATTCTGAGATGGAACTAATAATTAGACGTTACCCAAGTCTTTGACCCTGCATCTGTTCCATTAAGAGGGGATGCCACTGAGTTCCAGTGGGTATTCTGTTGTTCCTGGGTTGAAGAGGTTTTGTATCATTAAAGATGGAGGTAGTGACTCATGATCCTCCACGAGATCTCTTGCTCTTAGTCCTGAGAGCTTGTTCCGGTATATTTTCGAGGTTTCTACGCACACTACTTCGATCGGCAGGTGTTCCAGAACTTCTCGGAGGAAGTCCTCTGTCTTCCAGTAGTTGGGGAGGCCCTTGACCAGAAGCCAGATAGGGTATTTTGCCGGAGCCTCCAGGATGGATTTGGGGTGGGCTTGCCAAGTGGTGAAAGTGATGTCTTGGTTCTCCATGCAGTGGGTTTTGGATAAAGCATGGATTCTCTCGGCTTCATGTGAGAATGGCACTTCAAATTTACTTCCTCCAATCATGGTGACGTTAGTGACTAATCGATGTAAGGAGTGTCTGACTGACCCAGTCTTGTATGGCTTTGAGGCCTGGATTCTCACTAACATGTCTAGGTTTCGGATTGTTTTGACTAATTTCTCCGCAATGGCTTTACTAGCTTCTACAGTGGAAGGTTTCAGTGTAATTGAAAGAGGTTGGGGAAGGGTTGGGTAATTGTGGTTGTCATCAAGTGGTTCTGTGGAGCTAACCTGCTGCTCATTTTGGAGTTGTGTTGGTGGGCATAGGATGTCTTGTGTGACCAGGGGCGTATGTTCCAGGAGCTCTTTGTCCATGTTCTTCCTATGATCTAGTCCAATGTACATTGTTGCTATAATATCATGAATTCATTTTTTTGAATACCATGCACTCAAGTACCTTTGTAGTGCTGCATGCTCTCGCTTGCCCTCTCCTCCATTTGTTCTACTTCTTTGTTCTTCCAACTCTCCACTTTGTTTAACCAATTGCTTAACTACTAAGTTGTTCTACCATTTGAACAACTTTATGGTTGTCATTGTTGTATTACATGAATTTTTGCTTGAGAATATACTAAGCACCTAGTTGTCAAAGTAAATAGGAAATGGCAACAATAAGGATTTAACAAGTCTACTAAAAACTTAAATAAACTCCAATTAAACTTTAATAATTTTAATTAAATTTCAACCAAATCCATTAGAAGTTTGAAAGAAATTACTAAAGTAACATAAAAAAATAATAAAAAAATCCTTTAAAATATTGACAATAGAAATCTTAAGTAATTCTAACTAAATCCTAATTTAATCCTAAACAAATCCTAAATAAATCCTAATAAATTCCTTAAAATCTTAAAAAAATCCTAATCAAATTTTAATCAAGTCCTAATCAAATTCTAATCAAACTCTAAAAATATTCTAATAAAACCTTAATCAAATCCTAACCAAATCTAACAAAAATCTTAATAAAATTTCAAACAAATTCTAAATAAATCCAAGTAAATTCTAAGTAAATCCTAAACAATTCCTATTATTGTTTTAAAATCTCAATAGCTATTAATTGGACCATTGATTTCATCTAAAATTTCACTTACATATTAATCTTAAAGTAAATATTAAGCACACAAATTTTGAAGAAAATTGAACTTAACAATTGAAAAAAAAAAAAAAAAAAAAAAAAAAAAACTCCTAAAACTCTTAGATATTAAGTATCTTCTTTCTTCAATCTAGATGTTGATCTTTCAACAACAATTGCTCTTTATTGAATCGTTTAGTTTCTTTTTAAATTTGTAAAAATGTAAATAACTAAATCTAAAATTCTTTGAAATTTTTTCACTTCATTTAAATTGATAAATTTTTTAAGATCACAAAAACTCTCACTAATCCTAAAATTTAAATATGTAAAATCTTAATTTAATAACTCCCATATTCTTCAACCTAATTATTTAATTGACTTTAAATTTAAAAAACTTAATTAAAAAATAAAAAATAAAAATCTTACAAAATTTCACGTATAAAATTGCTACAATATCCATGAATACTTCAAATATACAAGTCTTATTTTATTTTTTAAAAATCCAAAACCTTAGAATATATCTCTCATTTTAAAAAGCTTTTAAAAATTCAATATGCATCCAAATCACTTGAAAAAAATCTTCAATAATTCTTTAAAAGTTTTTTTTCAAATCTTGTTCTTTAATTAGCAAAAAAACCCTAAAATTTTTATAGGAGCATGATTTTATATCTCACAATTTGTTTTCAACCTTGGTTCATAAGATGTCCTCTCTGAGTATCAATTTTTGGTATCTTAAAGTAATTTTTGCTTCAAATTATTCTTTAATCCTCTATACAGATATCTATATTATTTTTTAATACTTTTTTTGCTTTATTTATAGTCTTATAAAATGAATAGAAGATTTATTTATTTTTATAAAAAAATAGAATTAATATTAAAATCTTTTATTAATTTATTATCTTTTATTTATATTTTTCTATTATATCTTTTTATTAGGATTTTCTATAACATAATCCATATTTTTATCTTTTATCATATAGTATATTAGAATACAACACCGCTCTCATCAAATAGTCTATCTTCATCCACAAAACCAATTTGTCCCTCTTCTAACTACACTTTAAAACTCCTATCTTCCTCTCACCTCTTTTCTATTTCCTATACATGCAAAAACTTAAATTTTCAAAATAAAGCTATTCAAGAAACTTTTGTGAAGATAAATTCTACAATAAAGTCTTTGTAACTACACTAATATATGTATTAAAAAGCCAAAGTATTGTATTTCATATCAGTAATATTTAAAAAATAACAACATATATATATATATTCACAATCTTACTTCTACATGTACCTTGGTATAAATATGCAAACAACTAAGATATGTATACTAAAACAAAGTTTTTGTTCTTTTATGTATTCAGATGTAGAATTTGAATTCATCTTTTTATATAGATACATCATAAGTTTCAAACACAACATAATAATATGCAACTTTGATATATTTTTTTTCAATTGAGAGAAACTATCAAAGAAATTCCACAACTAGGTTGCATGCAATGAATCTTAAGAACCTTGCTCAATTAATACAAATAATCAAAACTACTACTTTAAAGAAATTTTCTTCACAAGTAATTTGGCAAACAAATAGTCAGCTACTTACAACATCATTATACAAAGATTTAAGATTTTGATTCCAAAATTCTACTTTAATAACAACTTCACTTACAAATAAAGAAATTAATAGAATGCAAGAGAAAAGATCAAGGAGGACGTTGTTATATTGTAACATGACTATATGATGAAAATATAATAAAAAATAAAATTTTAATTAATATTTAATTATCTTGATTCAATAAAAATTCACAATATTTAATCATGGCTTTTGTAAAAGCCTCTTAGTTTATTTTCTTGACTTAATAGTTAATAGGTTAAAGATTGATTAATAATTTTATCTTCTATATTGTAGAGACTCTTTTATTATCTTAAAAAGACTATAAATTAATAAAATCAGATTAAAAGAGATAAATATTAAGCATGGTTGATACTAGGATTAAATTGAAGGTAGGAT